AGAGAGAGAGAGAGAGAGAGTCTCCCCTTCCAGCAATTTGTTTTTTCGTTGTATTCCCCGTCCACCCTCTTTTTTTTTTCCAAGGCTCTCTTCGGACAATCCTACTGCACCGGGCATTAACTGCACCTGCACGCGGCCAACCGTAGAACAGCTAGTTAATTACAGGTAGACACATAAGCACAAAGAGAGGCCAAGGCAGGATGGAGGAGTGAGAGAACCAGCACCGGCACCAAGAGGGAGCAAACATGCATACATAGAGCTCACCAATTTACCTTCTCCAACTCCCACAGAAACTACGCGGTACTGCATCAACGCGCCATCGTCTCCCTCAGTAATTGGTACGCCATGTTGATTTCCTTGAATTTCCGCTCAGCAGCTTGATGTTCTCTCGGGCCAGACCCTACCCATTTGTCAGGGTGCCATCGCAACGCCGCCTCGTGGTACGCCTTTGCAAGTGACCTAGCGTCTAATCCAGTAACGCTCTCCAACCCCAATACTTTTGCACAGTGCACCTTTGCATTAAATGAAGCGACGGCATTGGATTTCCCTCCGCCTTGATCCTCTGTCTTTTGCCTCGGCCCGCCAGACCTACTGCTCGAAGGATTGGAACGGAACCAATCCGGCTCCTTGCTCTTCCCTCTCTCGCCGGCACTGTCATTATTGCCACTGTCGTGGGATTCCTGGTACTGTCTTCCCCGTTCCTGCTGTATTTTGACTGCCTCGGCAAGGTGGCGTTGGTTTTCCTCCGTTGGCGCAAGTTCCACCGCCCTCCTAAGGTCTTCAATCGCACACTGAAGGTACGCTGCCCCCATCCCGGCCTTTTTATACATAAAATGAAGGTAGATGCGAGCTCGACGCGCGTAAGCCTTGGCATTGTTTCCATTGATCTGAATGGAACGATGTACATCGTTTAAACCATCGTTCCAACGGCCACACTGCATAGAGGTGGCGGCACGGTTACAATAAGTGACCGCAATGAGTGACTTATTGAGCGGATCAAGTGAGAGACATCTTGTGTAAGCCGTGTACGCCTCTTCCCAATCCCCGTTTTCGTACGCCGTATTGCCCCGGTCACGATGGCGCTCAAAGGCAGCCACTGTACGTTCGAGATGAATATAACGGCTATCCTTAGAGCCACCTTCACCTTCCTTCTGGCGGCAAGCGGCGCGAATAAGCCCCAGCACCTCCCCGGTTGAGGTTGGATCGTGTGCGCAGTAAAACAAACATTTTGCATGAAGAAAGAGAAGCTCCGCATATTCGGCATAAACTTTGCGAAGCTGCTTAATTTCATCCAACGCACGCCAGGGGTCCAAATTCAGGAAGGCCTCTAACCTGCGGCAATGCCACGGCAGTCCAGCTACTCCTGTGGAGCCAAATACGCGAAGCAGCTGATCCGCACAACACACACTGTCAACCCAACGGCACTCCTTCATGTAGGCGTAGTACATCTCATAAGCACGCACAGCTTTTATTTCTTCAGCGATTGCACGCTCTTCTACTGGATTTATGCACATTTCTCGCGCAACACGGTAGTGGCGTATTGCGCCTTGAACATTGTTTGTGTAAACAAGGGCCTTCGCTGCCCGCCAATGCGCCTTGAAGTTGGAGGGAGAACGACGCAAAACAGCCTCGCAATCCATAAGCGTGAGGGTGTATTGATTGATAAGAAAATAAGCTGCCGCCCGATTACAACGAATAATATCGTTTTCAGGGTCATGCTCAATTGCCTCACTGTACGCCTTCACTGCGGCCTCGTACTGTTTATACTGCATATGTCGGTTTCCTTTTTCACGGCAAGCCTGTACAAACTCCGAGTCACGGTGAAAAGAAAGGGAACCTCGAGGACCACGCTCAGGGTTTTTGTCGCACACTTTTTTACTCGCCTCGCCAGTTTGACGAGAAAAACGACTAATGCTACTCCGCCGACACGTTGAACTTTGGCACACGGAGGTGCACGGCGTCTGAGGCCCACGAGGCGTTGGTGGTGCTGAAGAGCATGAAACCGCCGCTGCCGCCATCGCTGCGTCCACTGCCTCTGCAGCAGCATCAGTTGCTTCCTGAAATCCACTGACAATGCTTTGCGGCTTGCCAGGCCTGACATCTCTTCGTACCCGCAATGCCGGTCGACACCTCATGTGAATCCTATTTATTTCGTCGGGGGGAGCAAAGCTCTCGTGCTGCTTCGGTTGCCTTGAGGGACGCACCATGCGCCGCACCACGACGGAAACGCCAAACGCTGGTGCGTCCAACAACTCAACCCCCCTGTTAGACACCTTGGACCTGTTCGCTTCTCTTAACACAGAGTCTCCGCGGTGACCGATGTTCCGGTTGTAGTCGCTGCCACTATTGTACTTGTTTTGCGGGGGCTGAGCCGTGGCAGGGCGGTTTGTTTTTGGGCGTGTCGGTGCCACAGAGACGCCGTAAACACGGAAAAGTTCCGGATCGGCTTGCGGACGCCTTGGTAAAGCGTGACAAGAAGAACGCCTCTTCTTCTTGGCGTCAACCACAGTGGAACCAACTTTTCCCGTCGTCTCCGCCTCCATGAAGAGATGCGTGAATTGGGAGTCAGATTCCCCCAGCGACGCCGCACGACGTCGGATGCCGCCGCCAACTGAGCAGGGAGAACCACACCCACTTGGGGCTCTAGCTTCACTTGAGTGCGCGTCGCCTCTCGCCTTGTTGTTGGGGGCCGACAATGACGGCCCTGTGTGAAGGCCGGGAGCCGACACTGAAACTTCCGAGGTGCCCTCCGAGGAGAGTGTGTTGACCTCACTCGTTGCCCGGCCCTCTTCGGCCAAACACGCCTTGAGGCCGTCGAAGACAACGGACTTCAACTCCGTTGCCTCCTGCAACTCTACTTCAAGTGCCCCAAGACGGCTTTCCCCTCCGGCGCCACGGCATTCCCCCATCCGGGCCAGAATCAAGGTGCACAGTTGCTCCAACACGCGCAGTTGACGGCGCAGCACATGCTCCTCTGAACCACCACTGCCCTCCGTGGAACTGGAGGGTTTGCTTCCGTTTTGGGGCGTGAGGAAATAGTCGACTGCCCCATTTATGTCCCTCTTCGCACCAACGTTCCGGCATGGCTGCAAGCCACCCGAAGACGCATCGGTGCCACAAACTGTCGCCGCCACGCCCCACCCCTGCAGGCGTTTCTGCATTGCCTCGAGGCGCTCTTCGAGTGATTCGGTCACAACCCAGCGCAACGCCCCCCCCAGGTGGCGCACACTCATAGCTGCTTGAGACTCTATTGCCTGGGCTGTGGGGAGTCCACCGACAGCAGAGAAAAAGCAAGAAAGAAAGGAAAAAAAAAGGCAAAGTAGACAAACGCCCAGACAGCGCATAAGAAACACACACGTGTACACGCATGCATGCATGCACCTTTTCGATCCCCCCACCCCTTACAGCATGTTGTCCGCGGTGATGCATAGAGGTAAAGAAGACGCACTTCACGGAGGCAAAAAGTGGGACAGGAATCATGAAACTGGAGGGTGACACGCAGAAAACCAACCCATTACAAAACAACACAAAAAGTATCTCTCTTTCTCTCTCCCAGAAGTAGAACTTCAGCAAAACAATATAACCAAGAACCCAACGAGAGGAAAAAGACAAAAAAAACGGGAAAAAGAAACAAACAAACAAAAAAAGAAACTTACATATTT